GAGAGCTGGGTTCTACCCATGACTCCAAGAGGAGCTGTTTATTCGCAGGTTTCGACTTCACGCCTCTCTCGACTTCACACCACCTGAGTGCCCACTCCGCCCCCCCCGCTCTCGGCTTCTTTTCTCCTCTGCTTTATCAGCTGCTGACTCCCCTGTCTTTCTCACACCTGAAGAAGGCTCTACAGCCTGAACATTGTGTTTCATTTCTTCTCTTTCTAGCAGGGAATAAACCTTTACTTGCTCCATTGAAGTAGTGAGGATGTCTTGATATTCGCCTCTGTGACTAAGTGGGGAAAATGTTTAAAAGCTGACAACTTTGATAAGTATAATTCTGGATCTATGTTGTGGGTACTGTTTTGTGGTCTCACTGATGAGTTGGACGTAATACCTTTTCTATGATTTGAAACTTTCCTTACCATTACCGTGAGAGTTCTCACAGTACTGTTTGTAGAGACTGTAGTCTAAATGGGAGACCGTGACATTCTGACGATCGATCACACCTCTCTCTCGTGGGTCTGAGGACAGGCTCCTAATCTACCAGCTAATCAATCCATTGCAGGGTCTGTATTGATCTTCTAAATGCCACCAAAGAAGCGCTCTGTCATTGTGCTGCCAAGGGGGATACAGCTCTCAGCACAGCTGCGCAGTGCTCGTCAGCGAACCCAACTACCTTCTGAGCTTCTAACTCTCCCTGAACTCGCCTCCTTACAATCCTCTGCCTGAGCCAGAGTGGAGCTCGTCTCTGTTGTCTCTGCTCTGGCTGCCAGACATCTGAAGGCTCCACAGACAAAACCCCGTGTCTCCTCTCTTTTCCTTTCAGCCTGGAATACATCTTCACCTGTTCCTTTGCAGCCTACGCATGCTGGGTAATTTATGCTGTAGATGAAGTTGGTGGTGCTTTCTTTGGTCAATTCCTTTTATAGAAAAAGACCCATTTGAACAAACATTAAAAACATCAAAATAAAAATCTTAACCCTCAGTAAAATATACTGAGTGAACTAAGCAAGCGCTATCTAGCACTACATGTACAAAGGAAAAAGTGAAGGTTTATTCCATGCTCAAAAGAGAACTAAAGAGACACAAAGTTTCGGGTGAGACCTGAAAAAGGCTCCACAGCCGAAACGTTATGTCACTTTTCTTCTCTTTTCAGCAGGGAATAAGCCTTTACTTGTTCCTGTGCAGCCTACACATGCTGATGCAGCTCCCTACGTGAGTTACATTTGCAACACTGGGAGCTTCACTGAGCACTGTGACTAATGACTTGCTTTCCCTAAACGTCTTGTTGATTTTAAAACATTATCTATGTCAAGCCCAGTACACCTAGAGGGTGCTCTACTTCTGTCCTGTTCCTAGTTCCCTGTGATTATTAATGTCTTTCTGGTGTGTCTGGTTGTGTAGCCTGTTTACTTCCTGTGTCTTCTCTGCTCCCAGCTCAGCATTGAGGGCTCGGATGTCCTGAGACCCGCCTAGCACCAGGTCGCTCCTGTCCGTGGCCTGAGGGCATAGGTTTCTATACCGACATTGTCCGACCCCCTGAGCCTGGGCTAACCCTGGTGTTGCCCCTGTTACCGCTACGCACAGGGTCTCTACTGCTCTCCTTGTCGTTCCACGGCTTGCCCTTCCGACATCCGCGACAATCTATTACACAAGCAGCTTGTATGTAATGAGCCACTGTTTTTGAAGTAGCTTTCGACAGTGCACGTCATTGTATCACGCTTATCTTGTATACTTTGAGGGTGTTGCCGTTGTTTTATCAGTGAATCATATAAAACGTGTTTTATCAAACTTGTTTTTTATTTAGTGTTCACACAGGGGGTGAAGAGAGGGGAAACAAAAGCCCAGACATACTGTAAGAAGTTACTTTCCCCAAATACTTAGAAAAGTGTGTTTAATGTTAATCCCCTCATCCCGCCCCAGACTGCCATCTGGCCTGGAAGGGTGACTGTCTGTAAGATGTCTGTGGGTTTCGAGGTACAGGTAGTGATCGGGCCCAGGGGTAATTCTAGGTACAGACACAAAACAAGAGCTGTTCTCCTTCCTGTGTCCTCAGGATTTGTGTCCTGCATGGCTCCAGCTGGGGCAGTATGAAGGTCCAGTATGTTTATGAGGGTTAAGTTAAATTAATTAATAATAATAATAATTGCTTACACTTATATAGCGCTTTTCTGGACAGTCCACTCAAAGCGCTGTACAGGTAATGGGGATCCCCTCCACCACCACCAATGTGCAGCCCCACCTGGATGATGCGACGGCAGCCATAGTGCGCCAGAACGCTCACCACACACCAGATATCAGTGGGGAGGAGAGCAGAGTAATGTAGCCAAGTCATAGAGCTACAATTCATTGGCTACATAGAGTAATGTAGCCAATTCAAATTAATTGCTGTTCCTTTCATGTAACACTGTTGCCTAAGAGAGGGAGTGAAATAGCATAACAGCCAGGCCTCAGCACTCTGAGGGCATTAACGGTAAGCAGTCTGGTCTGACCACACGCTGCATGTTCTCTTACTCTCACAGCAGAAAGAGGTGCAGCTGAAATGAAAAATCCAGAGTAGGTCAAATGCATTGTTAATCTTCAGTCGATGTGCATATGTACACTACATCATTGTAAGAGTCAGTAAGATCTTTTTTATCTTGATATTCAGTGTGATATTCATATTTACTTTGTTTTTGTGACTTTGACTTTTAGCCGTTAGCGTTTCACAGCAGTGTGACTCCTCGGCCGAATGTAGCTTGGCTGAGAGAGATGTAATTCAGGAGACGGTCCAGCAGGGGGCAGCGATGAAGCACAGGCGCTGTCCTGCGGGGTCCAAGCTGAGTGGGGAGAGGGGACGGCTGGTGTTTCGTGTTGTACTTCCTCTCGGCCCTGTCCTGTGGGGAGCCGTGTTGATTATCGATCCCGTGCTGCGGCGTTCCTGTAGCGATGGATGCAGGCCAGCGTGGCTCCCGGTGGGAGCGAGTCCTGGAGTCTGTTTCCTCCCCGGCTCACTCGGCGATGGTGAGCAGAGAGCAGAGCACCAGGGGCACCTCCTTGTCCCCGGTGCCCAGCAGCGGGTACAGCCGCTCGGAGAAGCTGTCGGTGAAGGTGTAGATCTCCGAGCCGGTCTTGGCGTTGTAGAAGGAGACCTGGCCTTCCTCGTAGTCCACGAACACGCCCACCTTCTTCAGCTTCAGCGAGTACTTCACCTTGGAGGCGGCAGGGCTGGTCAGGGCGCGCAGGTGGGACCCGCACCACCAGAGGGCCCAGTAGCCCGTGAGTGGGCTCATGTCGAACAGCCCCTTGCGGGGGGCCGACTCCCGCACCGCCCCCAGCTTCCAGTCCGTGTTGTCGCTCACCGCCACCTCCCAGTAGTGCCTCCCGGAGGTGAAGCCCTCCTTGCCCAGCACGCAGGACAGCACGTCGTAGCGCTGGGAGCTGTTGCGGTAGTGCTGCAGCTTCTCGCCTCTCTTCACCTGCTTGCGGTCCTCCGACAGGATGAGGAAGGGGTAGGCCGTCACCGGGTTCAGGGTGATGTCGTCTGGGGAAGAGGAAGAGGAAGAGTCATGAGGCTGTCCCGTCGGCACGGTGTTAAACAGGGGCGAAAGGAAGGAGGGCGAGGGGACGTGACTCACCCGTGTAGGAGCGGATCCTCTTGATGCCTGCGGAGACAGGGGAGAAGGAGGATCAGCATGGCCTCGTGCCTCAGCACACAGGACAGCGGGTGTGTGTGCCTCCGCAGCGCAGCAGAGAGGCTCACGTCGAGCGGCTCTAGGTCAGAGCTGGCCAGCACGATCAGGAAGGGAATATCTCACGCGGAGCTGCTACTGCTATCCCTGCTGCTGCTACTCCCACTGCTGCACAGCCAGCAGCCATTTCACCCTGCAGCTCACAGCTCACAGCTGGCAGCCCAGTGGAGCTCAGCAGGTGTGAGTCTGGCCAGTACCTGGAGAGGAGACTCCTGGGAAAGCTGAGGCTGCTGCTGGAAGAGGTGTTAGTGGGGCCATCAGGGGGCGCTCACCCTGCAGTCTGTGTGGGTCCTAATGCCCCAGTATAGTGATGGGGACACTGTACTGTAAAAAACCGAGGTCTTGACTCTGTGGTCATTCAAAATCCCAGGGCATTTCTTGAAAAGAGTAGGGTGTCCTGGCCAAATTTCTCCCTTTACCAGTTATGTCTCCTAATAACCCCCCTCTCTGAACTGGCTTCATCACTCTGCTCTCCTCCACACTGAGAGCTGGTGTGTGTGAGCAGACTGGAGCATCATCCAGGTGGGGCTGAACACTGGTGGTGGTGGAGAGGAGACCCCATTACCTGTAAAGCACTCGGAGTGGAGTATCCAGAAAAGCGCTACAGAAGGGTAAGGATGATTATTTATTTACTTCTACTGCACTGTCACTACTGTTACTGCACTGCTCCTACTAGTACTGTTTCTGCAGCTGGCAGCATGTTTTCTACTCGCTACCACTATATCTGCTGTTATTGCTCCCACTGCCCCAGAAGTGTCCCACCGCTACTGCTGCTGCTCTTGGTGCTGTTACAGCTGCAGCACAGGGTTTCTGAAGAGCAGCATAGAGGCAGACTTACCGGAGCCTGGTCGAATCCTGGTGAGATCTGGAAGACAGACAGACAGACATCAGGCTACAGATACAAGGGCTCAAGGGGCAAATTGGACAGAAGAGAGAGGGGTGTCAATATTGCAGAGAAGTTTAATAAACACACACGACAGGACAGGAGATAATGGGAGAGACATGAGATAACAGAGAATCCCTCAGTAATAAACAGAGCAACAAGAGAGGAGACACCGTGAGAGAGGACATAGCAGTATCTCTCAGTAATAAACAACAGGACAGGAGACACGGTGAGAGATAGGAGATCTCACAAAATCTCTCAGTAATAAATACACACAACAGGACAGGAGACACAGTGAGAGAGAGAGGAGACATTAGAATCTCTCAGTAAATAGTACACAACAGGACAGGAGACAAGTGAGAGGGAGGAGACAGAATCTCTCAGTAATAAACACACACAACAGGACAGGAGACACAGTGAGAGAGAGGAGACAATAGAATCTCTCAGTAATAAACGCACACAACAGGACAGGAGACAAGTGCCACTGTGTCGACAGTCTTACCTTTCAGGGACCACTGACTCCTCCTCATCCCTCGTAGACTCATCGTGCTCTCGCTGTGAGAGAGAGAACCTGCAACACAGAGAAGACAGATTCAGAAGCACAGGCGTCTGGGTGTCTCTGATAGAGATACAAGCCAAGCTGCACCACAGACAGTCTGAAGTCTAGTGCTGCACATTGCACGTACTCTAGTTCTCTTTCAGTAGAGACCTCTGACCCACTGCACTTGTATTACGTATCATGTTCTGCTGTTTTCCTACATTTTTGTTTCCCTTATAAAGCCCTGTGGTGATGCAGGAGGAACTCGGACCAAAAGGGATCTTTGGGGTTTGGCAATATCCTCATACCACCACAAGAGGTCGCCATACGCACACAGTTCCTAAACTTCTGTCTGAGCAAGGAGGGAGGGGTCCTACCGCAGTCCTACCCACCGACCCTCGCTCGTGCCTCACCCCCTGCCCCCCCGAGGCTGCGCCCCGCCGCTCAGACTCACCAGACCGCCGGGGCCGGACCTCGCCCATCCGGATGTCGTCCAGCCTCTCTCTCACGTCGCCCAGGGCTCTCTTCACCTCCTCCAGGTGGAAATGCATCTCCAGGCTCAGGCTGGACGTGTCCTCTGTCTGAATGGGCCTGCTGGCCTCCTGGAAGCCCTGGGAGGGGAGAGAGCGAGTGGAAGATCAGAGGTGAACAGTGGGTGACCTATTGACATGGTATTGATTATCTGCAGTAAGGAACAGTGACTACCTGCAGTTAGGTGATGTGGTCCTCAGAGGTGTACAGTGGGTTTTGATGACTTATTGACAAGATATTGATTATCTGCAGTGAGGAACAGTGACTACCTGCAGACAGCTGATGTGATCCTCAGATGTGGACGGTAGGTATTGATGACCTATTGAAGGTGTATTGATTTTGTGCAGTGAGGAACAGTGACTACCTGCAGAAAGCTGATGTGGTCCTCGGAGGTGGACAGGTGCTCCAGGGTGTTGTGCCGATTATTGAGCTCGGTCATCTCGTTGCCCAGCTGTCTGACCATCTCCTCCCCCCTGCTCTCCATAGCCTCCTGCTTCTGGTTGATCCCGGCGACCAGCTCCTCCCGGATCCGCTCTGCTGACCGGATCACCTCCGCCAGTACCTCCTCGCACTGTGCCTTCTCCCGCTGGGCCAGGCTCTGATGGGACAGCGGCGTGTTCAGACACGGGCAGAGGCTGACGGCCCCACCGTGTCACTTCAGTAGCAGAGGGAGCCCCGTAGAGGGCGCTTTGTGCAGCTGGGAGTGCACGGGCCCAACACAGTAACAGCAGGTCACCCATATGGTGACGCATGAAACCCACAGGTCGCGCCTTGATTCCCATCAGCCCTTGCAACTGTAACTCACTACGTTGCAAACATAGATATGTAGGGCCATGCCTCCTCACAGTGTGGGCTGTGCTGTGGAAAAGTCTCAGGTGTCCAGCAGAATCAAAAGCAATCATGCATAATGAGTATAGATCGAGAACTGCATGGAGCTTTTTCCAGCTTTTAACCAAATGTTATACAGATGTGGAGATTGAAAAAGTGGTCAGATATTTCTTATTCACCCTGTTTGTCTATGTTTCAGCAATAAACCTTATTTTGGTTTGAGTGATTGATATCTTGGAATCATTTGGGATTGCTGTGAAAGGATGGGAGATGTTGAAAGTGAGGCGCGTGGGGAAAAGGGTTGGGAAGCTTTTGACTAGAGACTGGACTACAGGACTCACTCTGAGGGACTCCATCGTGCTCTGCAGCTCCGACAGCTTGAGACCCCGGAGCTCAATGCCCTTCCGCAGCTCCAAGCCCATCTTCCCAAGCAGCTTCTGCAAAAACCAAATGAGCTGCATGAGATAAATAGCACCCTGCACCCCATGTCCCTCAGATGTAATCTTGCTGGTTATTGCAGTCATTTTGGGTCAACTCATTGTTGAAACCCTTGAACCATCCACAGCCCTAGATAGGGGGGTCCTGTGAATCGAGCTTTAGAGTAGAGTAGAGTAGTTTATTGCCATACATGCACGTACGTTGGAATTCTTAATCGTGTTGATCTCTCAGGACATACACAGTACAGCAGACAACACCATACACTGTAGACAACAGGAACAATAATTATGTAGTGGAAAAATAAATAAATCTGTAGTGCAGATGTGTGTTGAGTGTGAGGCCCTACAGTGAGCTGTTGAGGACGCACACTGCAGTGGGATAGGAGCTGTTCTTGAGTCTAGTGGATCTTGTTTTAACAGCGCGGTACCGCTTGTCAGGGCACAGGGGGGAGAACAGTTTGTGGCCTTTAGGAAAAAACAGGCTGCATGGAAAAAACAAACGCTATGGCGACCACCATAGCAGCAGCATTGCAGCTCAGGGGCAGTGGTGGGGGGTGATGGGGTCAGACATCATGGGTCAGTGTGCTGCCTGGGTCAGGGCTGAGGGCTCTGGATAGTGGTGTGGAGTTGTGGTTAGGGGTCAGGGCTCTAGATGGCAGTCTGGAGCTGGGGTGAAAGGTCAGGGGTCAGGACTCTGGGAGGTAGTGTGATGCGGGGGTCAGAGATCAGGGGCCAGAGCTCTAGGTGGCAGCATGGTGCTTGGGTGAAAGGTCAGGGGTCAGGGTTCTAGGAGGCAGTGTTGTGCTGGGGTGACAGGTCAGGGGTCAGGGCTTTGAGCAGTGGGGTGGGGCCGGGGTTGGACTCTTGGTGGCAGTGTAGAGCTGTAGTAGGGGTCAGGGCTGGGGTAGGCAGTGCAGAGCTGGTGTCAGGCATCAGTGAGCCTCTCCTTTCTTTGTGTTGAGCCTGTCCAGTGTGTGGCCTTTGGCAGTTCAAACTCCCATCCTGGCCTCTACCTGCTGCCCTCCCCATACCTGCTTGCTGCTCCTCTCCACCTGGACGGACACTGTCCTGTGCTTGCGGTGCTCGGCCTGGGCGCATCTGGCGCACACGCAGACCTGGTCCGTGCGGCAGTACACGTCCAGGAGCTTGTGGTGGATCGTGCACATGCGGCCCTGGAAGGCCACCTGGGGCTCCCGCAGCTGGTGGTGGGAGAAGGGCGCCCCCTGGAGGTGCTGCTGGATGTGGGCCTCGCAGTAGGAGGCCATGCAGGTCAGGCAGGAGCGCACGGCTCGCCGCCTCCCGCCCAGGCACACGTCGCAGGCGATCTCCCCCGGCTGGGCGCGTTTGCCTCCCCATGCGTCGTCCTCCCCCGCCCTCGACTCCTTGTAGGTCTCGGCGATCTGGGCGAAGATGCGGTTGATGTTGAGCTCGGGGCGGCGCGGGAAGCTGCGCTTGCAGAGGGGGCAGCAGCACTTGTCGACCTCGCTGGTGTCCCAGTAGCCCCCGATGCACAGCTGGCAGAAGTTGTGGCCGCAGGGCGTGGAGACGGGGTCGGTGAAGATGTCCAGGCAGATCGAGCAGGTCAGCTCCTGCTCGCTGCACAGGGCCTCTGCCATCTTGAACAGGGGCAGCCGGGGTGGGTTGAAGGGTCAAAGATCAAAAGCCAAAGATCAAGGTCAAAGGCTAAAGGTCGAATGCTAAATGTTTGTGGTTTGTGATTAGAGGTCAAAGGTTAAATGTTTAAGACTAGAGGTCAAAGGTTAAAGATGGTGTAAGCTCAGAGAGAGCTGGGGCGGGAAGCAGCAGAGAGAATGTAGTTGAGGCCCTGTGATAAAAAAAAGAAACATTAAGTAGAACGAAGATGAATGTGAATAACAGCATCTTATAGTGACGATATTGGACTGGAATACAGGGCTAGGGCAGTAAGGGCTTTGGAGAGTGTTGGGGCTTACAGAAAATGTGGATTGGTTGCTACAGTGAAAGAGAGAGGATGAGGATGTGGCTGAACTGAACAGCGTGCAGTGTGAGGGAACAGCGAAGGTTCACCTGAGTGAGTGATAACCTTGTGAAAAGAAGCTCCTGAAAGCCTGCAAGCTTCCCTTCAGCTGGCTGTCTAGTGCCCAGGACAGTGTGCCCCTGTACTCATCCCTGCCCTTCGTCCTGCCTGCGCGGGGTCTGCCTGTCTGATCTCTGATGATCAGGGCGCGTCCCAATGTGCTCTCACCCTTTTCAGAGCGAGCTGAGATTGAGCTGAGCTATTTTAGTCTGGGGGGGCGGGGTGGGGATTGACAGAGTAAATTCCAGTCGTGGTCCAGGGCAGAGTTTGCCTCTTCGTTATTCAGAGGAATCGCAGAGAGAGACACAAATGGATGACTTCCTTCCAGGCCGGGCACGGGTGCGCTCACTCTTTGCAACAGGATATTTGAAGGTGCCAATTATTGTGACGCCTCACTTCCGGATGTCTGCCCTAGGTTTCGGGTTCTGGGTCTGGGCTCCCTGCTCCTTCGTGTGACTTATGCGGGACAGGAAGGGGGTTTGAGGGTTATGGTTTTTGACATATTTTGGAAAATTGGCACTTGGAAAAGGGGGCTCCCCTCTTTTGGTAATTGTTACCAACTTGAGACCTGGAGAGCCAGACTCAGTGGTACCAGAATTAGACTAGTTCAGCCTCATTCTTCTAGAGAAGAGGTGATGGACTGGTGCTCACACCACAGACACTAACCTCAGAGTTCTGCTGGGGCCCCAGCAGGAGACTGTGCAAAAAGATTTTCTGAGACATTTTCTGAGACATTGTGCCATCTACTACAGATCCTGCCCTCTGCTGTTCACAGCCAAGAACAATAAGATGAAAAATAAACCCTACAAAAATGTTTTGACTGATTGTCAACACTGATGCCCTGGGGGGACTAACATGATGTAATCCAGAACAAAAGACTCACTTGAATGTTTACACAGTCTGCCTTAGTGAGGTATTAGAGAATGATAGGCACCATAGGAGTGGACCATACTGTCCAAACAAAGGATGTTTCACAATTCTTGAAGCCTGTAAAGTAGCAGCAGACCAGTCCTTTTCCTCATCAGAACTTTATAAGAAGTGAAAGGAGGCCCTACTGACCTGGTTCTGTTCTTCTCTTGTAGGCCCAAAGCCAGAAGAGGACAAAATTCCCCCCCCCCCATTAGATTGAATCCCCTTCAACCCCCCCTTCCTAGAAAGGGCTGTTTTGGAGTAGCCAATCAAACTTGCACGCCTTTAGGAGGTGGGAGAAACTGCAGCGCCTAGCAAGAATCCACAGGGAGAACATGTCAGCTCTGCACAGACAGGACCCCCCCACCCAGAATCGACCCCTGAACTCTTCTGGGGAATGGGGCTGTGAGGCAGTGGTGCTAACTGCAACACCACAGTATCACCCCTGCATGCACGTGCTGCTTTGGCAAAGAAGGCTGCAGTGAATGAGGTCAAGGGAGGACCTCAATGAAGGCAACAGCACACCTAGCTAATGTTTTAAGTCAGACAGCTCCGATGGTCTATGCTTAGTGGATTCATAGAAAAATGCCAGCAGGAAATGGAACTCCGGGCCACAGGAAGTGTCTGAACTCCCACCCAGAGCAACACAGGATTGATACCAGGTACCTGAGCCTCTGTGAGGGCCATCCTCCAGCATTATTCTGTGTACATTTTAATTGCTTTAATTGCTTTAATTGCCGAAAAACTAGATATCTCAACTGGTACAAAAAATGCTTCACCCCTAAATTCCATGTGTCTCCCACTGAATCCTTTCCCTGCACGACCAGGAGCACCAGGAGGAGAAACATCCCCAGAGGCGGGTTCTCCTCATTGCGTTATTAACTTACAGATCTCAGAAGGAGCCCGGGTCAGTATAGATTTGCAGACATAAGCACAGCCCTTATAAGGCAACAGCAGCTACCAACTTCTTCACCTCAGACCACCGAGAATGAAAGTCAGGGATTAAAAGACAGCAGATCCTACCTCCGGGTGCATGTCCTCTTCCTCACGACTAAACAGCAGAAATCTATGGCCAACTTGTCACTCAGCCCGTACGGAAGATGGGAATATCCTTACCCCCCTCACCCCCCAAAAACACCAACAGCTCCAGCAGCAGTGGCGTGCAGGAGAGCCTCTCAGACACGCTGGACCTGGTGTGCCTGTGCCTCTCAGCAGTGAGTCACTGCAGGAATCAGGTCAAACCAAACCTTTCTACTCACACACCCCCCAGCTGCTCCACCCCGAGAGACTGGTTCCACCACTTCTCCAGGATGCTCTGGATTTGCTGGATTCCCGGCTTTAAAGGTGCACCACACATCTAAAGCCTCTTCCCAGCATGTGTGAGAAAACGTCCTGCTGCTTGCTGGTGTTCATTGGCCCGGCCAGGCCTGTGTCATCTTTGGGTCAAGAGTGCTAATATTGCATACTAATGGTCAGGAGGGATTGTGCTGATGGTGTTTGGCCTCTTTTGATTCACTACACAGATCAAGGACTGGGTAGGAATTTCCAAAAAGACTCATTCTAGGTCTCAAGGGTAGGAGGTCTGAGGAAAGAGTGGAGGAACTTGATCTCTTTGGTTTTAGTAAAAGACAGTGAAAGGTTCTGATCCCGGAGGGCCAGTGCATCTACAGGTTTGCAGTCCAACTGGTCTTTTAATGGCCTGAGTTGGCTCGTTATTTTCTGAATTGGAGCAGCTTCTCCCAGGCGCTTCAGGTGCTGCTGCTTTAGAAATTCCCTGACCCCCTGCAGGACCAGGATAGTGGACCCCTGGCTAAGAGATGGAACTGAAGGGCCACCCCAGATTTTAAATCTTTGAAAGGGTTAAGTCAAGATGGCTGACCCCAACAGTTACGTCAAGCTTGATGAACAGAGCGCGAGAACACAACTGGACAGTGAATGGCCAGGTTTGCACAAATATTGGAAAACACAATGGAAGGCAGAAGGGGGAGGAGGCTGAGCTCTGGTGCGATGAAGTGCCTGTTCTCAGTGTCATGTTTTTACACTGTTGTGAGGACCATTGTGCTGACCTCTTTGGGCAGAGCCTGGAGGCTTTTTGTGTAAAAGGCTCTTCAGCAAGAGGTCGAAAGGCACAACAGAGAGGGAAAGCATATCTGCTGGTATCAAAAGCACAAATGCAGAACAGATGTGTTGAAGATGTCAGGACAAACGGCAGCCTTATACAGAAAGAAAGAGCTGTGCCGTGTGTTTCCCAGCCCTAGTGTCAACTCTGCGAAGTTTCTCGCACGTTTCGTCAGGCAGGTTCTTTTATGTAGTAAGAGGAGTGCGGTTTATACCAGCTCTCGACTGAAGAAAATCTCGAGTCATGCTGAGACAGACTCGCTTCCTGAAGTGGTTGGTTCAGGACAGTCAGTTTTCTATTTTACCCCATTCTGGAATGCAGCACTCCCAAACTATCCCGTCTGTCCAGCGGGGCGACATTCCAACCTTGCTGGTACAGCTGGATGAGACAGGAGTCCTTCAGCTGTGAGCGATTAGAATAGCACTGAAAGAACAACACTGCCTCTGGCAGAACATTACTGATTGAGGGCCGGACTGTTCTTTCTCCCCTCTCTCACTTTGCCTCCTGTCCTGTTGGGTGTGTTTATTACTGACAGATCCTGTGTGATCACCTCTCTCTCACAGAGACACTGCTGTCCCTCTCCTCTCACACTCCCCCTGAACTCACACACTGACACACCTGAGTGGACTGTAGACACTGCTAGAGACACTGCTGTCAATGTCAGTCAGTCAGTCAGTCAGTCACAGTGTATCCCAGTATCCCTTTGATACTAAACTTGATACCCAGTATCTCTTGGAAACCCAGTATCCATTTGACCCTTTAAAAGAGACTGAATATACAGTATACAGAGTATTGCCTGAAGTGCATTTCAGTGTTGCAATGCAGGTTTCAGTTTTGTGGGATTAAATACATGCCAAAGTCCATTTCAGTGTTGCAATGCAGGTTTCAGTTTTGTGGGATTAAATACATGCCAAATGATGAGAGCTATTGGGTGTCTCTGGTCCCTATGTCCCATCTCAGGCCATTCTGGTACAATTCTACACTTAACTGGGGGCAAAGTGTGTAAAAAGCTCTCGGATCTTTTAGGATGGTCTAGCTGACACCCATTGATGGTTCGCCGGCAGCGTCTGGGCATCTTCCCTTTGGTTTTCTCGAGCTGCTCCAGCTGCTTCACCTTCTTCTCTGCTTGAGACGCCAGTTCATCTCCCAGCTCTTTGAACTTCCTGGCCAAACCTCGAGACTTCGTTTTTATGCTCCTGCCGATATTAATCCCGAGCTTTTGTAGGCTGTCCAGGGTCATGACTTTTCTGGAGGCCTTTAACGTCCCTCTGAATGTCACAGTCTGGAGCTTTTTCGAGAGGCTCTTGCCTGCAGCATAGCTTTTAATTGCGATCCTTTTTAAACCTTTGGGTGTTTTGATAGTTACACGTTTGACAATATTAACAGTATTTTTCACTGCCAGGTAAGTGCTTTTCAACGTTTTCGCGAGGGACTTCTGTAAAGTCTTTCTGAGTCCTTGCGTAGCTACCGTTTTCAGGCTGGATCTTATCGAATGCATACTTAGTTTGGCTGAAGCCCTCATAGCTTTGCCAAAAGCCTTTATCCCGGCCTTGGTGCCGAGTTCCCCGCTGGAAAAGCCAGTCAACAGCTCACACGGCTCCCAGCCCTTTTTAATGAAAAAGGTGCAGACCAGCTTCTCCAGTTTGGTCAGCTGGTCCTCGAAATGTATGATCTCCCACGGCTGAGCCCGGCCTCCTCGGCCCAAACAGGCAGTCGCCAGATTGACACTCCCACTTGCGTCCTTCACCGCGTCCAGGACACAGACCCGGCTTCCCCAGACTTTGAAGCGGTCGCCCTCTTGAACCCATTTCTGGTTGTTCGCCAAGGCGTAAACAGGCCACAGAATGACCGTGGATGGGTCATTTTTCAGGGGCTGTCCCGCTTGCAGAGCCAGCCCACTTCCCACATTGACCAGATGGAAGTCGTCCCAGTACCAGAGCTGCAGATGCAATTGATCTTCGCTGAAGTGTTGAAAATCTGGACTCTGGCCCTTCTCTGTAGCTGTCAGCAATTCACAAGGCTTTTCCTCACTTTTGATGTAGAACAGAGCAGGATCGTTGTGAACCGAGGCACAATACAATCCTTTGGCATTTTCGAAATCCCGCCTCATTTCAATGAGTGTCCACCGCTGGAAGATTGTGCTGGACCTCTCGCTGAGTTTCACTTTCCCATCGTCTTCTGCGTTGTCGTCCAGCACTTTCTGAGCCCAAAACAAGGACCTGATGTCGTCTTTGTCGAATGCCCAATGCTGGCTGTTCACCACAGAGTCATTGCCTTTCTTCATCATCAAGATGGCATTGTGTGGCAGACTGTCTTCAACATCCAAGACCAGGCCGCTCTTCATATGAGTGAGACAGGCCCCATCCCAAAACCACAACTGGTCCTCCAGGAGCTCTTCAATGACAGGACGGACCAATACGACATTTCCTTCAGAACTGCCAGTGAGATACTCACAGGACTCGTGTCTGTTCCTTATAAAGTACAAACAGGTCACTGATTCTATGCTGTGTGCTGCTACCTCATATTTAACAAAGCTCCACTGCTGACCATCCATTCTGCTGTGTTTTTTACAGGAGACTCGCACATCGCCTGTTGAGGTGTTGTCATCAACCGAAAGGGCACAGTCTGTATTCAGTGCAGACGTCAGGACTCCCTCCTGCAAGGTCCACTTCTGCGCTGTGGCAAACGCAGAGATGTGCCAGAGAACCACAGAGACAATACTGTCCTGATCACGCCTCACGTGTAACGCGAGCTCGGCTCCCACGCTGACCAGCCGCAATCCATTCCAGTGCCACAGCTGCATCGGAGCGTTGCTCTCCTGGAAATACTGGAAACGGGGGTTCTCCCCTTCCTGCGTTGCCGTCAGTAACTTGCAGGGCTGAGCCGGGCTCTTGATAGAAAACATTGCCTCCATGGCGACAGAGCTTCGGCAGTGCAGGAGATCGGTATCATTAGTGGCCTCCTGTTTTTTTAATGAATGTCCACTTCTGAACAGGGTCAGAATTTGGAGGCAGGAGGAGGACTCTGCCATCATTTCCTGGGTCCAGGGTAAGTACGTTACCGAGAAACCGCAAGTAACCATCATCGCTTACCCAAGTGACGGAGATCGTGGTCCTCCTGAAAGAGGCGGGGACAGCGGAGGAGGGTGAGGGGACACGGATCTGGTGGCATTTTCTTCAGGCACACAACGGCTTGGGTGGCTCTGTTCTTCAGCATGCTGCCCCTCGCCCAGTACCAGAGCTGGCTGTCCATTTGGTAGTGGCTGTAGTCGCTCTTCATGGGGAAAACCCCCGTGTCACTGTCGCTGGTGAGAAGCTTGCATTGGTTCAGCGCTTTGAGGAAGTAGAGCTGCGGGCCAGTGACATTTCTACTGGGGTAACAATCCCCCTGAGAGAGGTCTCGTTTGGCTCTCAGTCTTGGGCTGTGGGCAGCTGCTATGGCTTCTGTCAGATTACTTGGAGCCACATTGTTCACGCTAACACCTCCTATTCCTTTCCCAGCAAACGACCTTTCCAAAAAACTGGACCGCACTGGAGACGCCAATAATGCACTGTTGAGTACCATAAGTGGGGGCAGAGACACAGGCAGGGAGGTGTGGAAAGTAATGGAATCTGTTCTCATTTTGCCTGGTGAAGGAAAGCTTTTGTCAGCAGGATCCGCGTCCTTCCCTTGCTCGTTCCCTGCATCCACATCCAACGAGTCCTTCATCGTGGCGGTGGTGCTTAAGATCACCTCCTGCAGCTGTGACCTTTCATTCTCTCCTTGGGCCTCCGACAACGAGCTCATGAGTTTCATCACCTCGCCCAGGCTCAGGACGTTCCGGGACAGCAGCTTGAATTTCTCCTGCAGCAAGTCGGCATTGCTCGGGGTCCGGGGAAGCGTCTGCCTCTTGGCCGGAATCTGCTTCTGCTGTGCCGTTCGATCCTTTGCCGAAGTCCGTGACGATCTCTAGCAGGGTTTCCAGGGCGGCCGCTGAAAGGCTGCAGCCCAACTTTCTCTTAGCTTCGTTCAGCTTGGCTGTCACCATTTCAGAGCAGTTCAGGACAGAATAGAGCAAAGCGGAAACCAGGGGATATAACGGGCCGAGCAGGGGCTGGGTCTCCCAGAACTGACGGAACTGGGCTTGCTCTTTGGAGTTACAGCTGGATATCCATTCCCTTACCTTTTCCATGGTGCTTTTGTGCTGCTGGTGGAGGACCTCGGCTATGCCGGTGGTTAAGTTCCAGAGGTCTGGGAGGCAGTTCCTCAGGTCATCCTCTTGGTCGAGCGAATCGGTGGCGTTCAGCAGCGGGAGACCCCATTCGTCCTCACTTCCACGCTCCGGATGGTCGGAGGAGATCGCAGTTCTGTTCGCGTTCTGCAAAATCACGAGGTGGAACTGCTGCAGGAGAAGCAGCAGGCACCACAGGCCAGCAAGGCACTGGTGGCCTCGTCTCCCAGCGGCGCTTGGCATTTCGTCTGTGCTCCTTTCTTGCCGAAAGGTGCTTTTATACACAGCCCACAGCTCCCTGCATTACACTTTGACTATACGTTATGCCAGTAAATGACGCAGACTGACGGGGAGAAATTGCATCAGACAAACAATTCCTGAATGCAGTTAGTTAGAAACCTGGCGGGAAGGTCAAATAAAGTTTAATTCTGTGATAGAGCTTTGCGGACGTGAAGGAGGGAGGACGAAAGTGAAAGCTGGTGGGCTCAGCAGGTGAGAGACCGTGTCCTTGTGAAGGGAGATCTGGGGGAAAGGCATGAAAAGCTGTGAGGAAGAATTTTAGCATTTACGTTTTTTTTAAGTGTGTAAGATAGTAATGCCTTTTACCCAGCAACAGTATGAAAGAACAATTGTAAGAATATTAGTTAATGTTTTGATGATAATGCTAGAAACTGCAGAAAGTCTAGCTAAATTTCACACCTTTTATTTATATACTTCCTTTTGTCTATACACAGGGTAAAATGGCTTCTTAAGAATAACGTGGTCAATTACAAAGAAATGTTTGTAGAGAGAAAAAAAAGAGAGAAAAACAACTCCCGATATGGAAATTTAGAATGAGCTTTCCTGTGTGAATTTGCTGTATAAAACTCATTGCATTTACCATCCCGTTGGAGAGGTTACTCACAGATCTGTATGAGAGGTGAAGAAAGATATAAGATGTGAAAAAGGGGTTAACTGATTTCTTTCTGCACAAAGATGTCTTGTGACACATAACATTCCAAACTCAGGCACCTCTGAGTTATGGCAGGGATGGGAGTTAATTGATATGAAATTCCAAGTGCAAGATAGAGACCCCTGAACTAAGGAAAGATAAAACCGACCATTAAAAGTGTTCAAGGTCTTGGGAATGTCCAAACACAGCCCCCCCCCCCATTACCATGGTAACAATTTGCATCAGAAGAGGCTGAAATTTGCTATATAAACTGTATATAGCAAATATACCTGTATACCTGTATTTCGAACAATACTTTGGTCTTATTGTTCCTTGCATGCAATAAACTCAGTTGCTTTAACGTCGTCTCGGGTTCCAGAACTTATTTGTCTGCTACTACAGAGGCTGCTCTCAGATCTGCATGATTGTATCCTCCCCATGCGCACCAGTAAAGAACTCTGCTTCTTCGGCAGCTGTAACCTGGGCAGGAATGGAACGTTCCTAGAAAATAAATAAGTCGGTCAGCAAGAGCCAGTGGGAAAGTGTTTATGGAGAATATTGGGATCCAGTGTCTTTTAGGAATAGGAGTCCTGGAATCGCTGTAAAACGGACAGTAATGACCTGGCGATCATGGAGAGGAGAGGTGAAAGGGCAGCAGGTGCCCAAAGTTCTCTTGCATTAGCTTACATATTACAGCTGTAGGTGGAAATGCTTGGTAACCGACACAGATACTGTACATGTGGAAGGACTGCATGAAACATGTAGCGTCTAGCCAGTGTGAAAATGATACAGTAGGTGAAGGAAGCACTGAGCAATCCAAGAAGAAAACCCAAACGATATGTAAACACTTTTGAGGTAAAAAGCGGTCAAATATGTTACTGGAGTAAACGTACTGTTACTTCAAAAAACAAGTAACTCAGTGAAAATAAAAGTTTCCATTCTAGAGAACAACTGAAGTAAAAGTGTCGCCTCTTATCACTCAGATATTAGAAAGTAAAAAGTAGCCGTCCTTTCTGCTGTTACCATGACTTTATTACTTACCCTCTTGTTTTCCCTACCTACAGAATTACAATTAACAACTGTAAAACTATTGCCAAACCAACAAGCGAGACAGTATGTTAACACACGTTCAATAACTAATTTATACAAAAGCGCTCTATCAACTTTGAAATAGTTCTATTTTGAAATTGTTCTCTCCTCTGTGTTGGTCTTTTTTCTAAACAGTGTCACATTTGTCTCATATCAGGTCTGGGCCCATGAGTTTGGTCCCAAGTAAACAACTAACAATTTGTGCAGCACTTAATTACTGTGGGGGTGCTGCATTTTTCCTATAATGATCCTTTCAAGGCTGAACTTTAAAGAGAACTCGTTACACTCATTTAGAATGGGCACATAGTGATGTTTGTGATGTAAATTGGGGGTTTTACGTGTTGCTCTGTACATTTTATGGTTATTGCGGTTTGAAATGCACTCCTCGACGCAGATTCTTTCTAACCCTGAAATATAAAAATGGATTGCGGTTCCCCTTCACAGTTCGTGCTGCAGTGAAGTAGTTCTGAGTGTTACTTCACACCCCTGACAATCACACACTGGGCTCTCTGCTGAATTCCCTGAAGCAACGCCATAGGTGTGTTACCTGTACATCATCCAAATAAAACTCCTCAGAGGTCTTGACAACATCAGCCCAGCAGCGAAAACACAGCCCACAGGACACAAGTGGAAACTACGTGGTGTCTGCCTACCCTGCATGTGGAGTCCCTATGGGACACGCTTGGATCCCGGTTTGTACTCATACCAAGAGTGTGTTCCTTTTTCAACTACTTTGATAGCCTGAGCGACCAAGGCACCAGTGAGGCGAAACTCAAAGCACAGCATCCAGCTTTACCTTTATAAATAAAACAGTTTTTTTTTCTCCACTTGTAGACAGCTGATATTTCTGTTCTTTGAGAGACTGAATATTCATCCAAACGAATGTGCTTACTGGAACAAAGGTTGTGAATGTGCTGTCCAGGTTATTTGGCATCTCTGTTTTGCTCCCCTTTATACTGTATATACAGTGTCTTCAGAAAGTATTCACCCCTATTAAATATTTCTCATTCTGCTGTGTTGCAAAGTCAAATTAAAGCATGTTTAAATGGGATTTTTTTCCACTCCTGTAGAAGTAATTCTCTATAATGTTAAAATGAAATGAAGTATTTAGATGTCTTCAGAATTATATTAAAAATAAAGATCTGAAAATTACTTAATTGATAAGTTTTCACCCCCCTTTGTTTTAACAACCTAAATTGGGTGAGGTATTCAATTATCTTGAGAGATCACACTAAATACGTTAACAAGGTGCACCTGTGTTCATTTTGAATTCACCTGTGTTTAATTGCTTGATTGCACAATAAATATCACTGCCTGTGAGGTCTCACAACTGAAACAGCAGATCAGATCAGTCCTACTATCCGTGAAGACCAAGGAGCTGCCCGTGGAACTTCAAGATGAAGTTGTTAGGAGGAAAAAAAGCTGGAGAAGGTTATAAAGAGATCGGCAAAGCTTTGAACCTTCCTATGAGCACCGTGAAGTCCATTGTAACAAAATGGAAAAAAACATGGCACAACCCAGACACTACTAAGATCAGGGCGTCCTACCAAATTGAGCAACCGGACAAGAAGGGCAATTGTCAGCGAAGTGACCAAGAGGCCAACTACAACACTGTCGGGGTTGCAGAGCTCTTTGGCTGAAATGGAAGAAACTGTCCAGACATCAACAATCTTTTCAGCTCTTCGCAGATTCAGCCTCTTTGGGAGAGTGGCTAGAAGGAAGCCAATTTTGAGAAAGGCCAACATAAGTCACGCCTGGAGTTTGCTAGAAACCTGAAACCTTTTGGAAGAAAATGTTGTGGTATGATGAGGCTAGAGTTGAGCTCTTTGATCTGAAAGCAAAGCGCTATGTTTGGTGCAAACAATAAATTTGCCCAACACCCAGGTAACACCATCCCTACTGTCGAGCATGGTGGTGGCAGCATCATGCTCCGGGGTTGGAGCAGGAGGAACTGGAAATCTTGTTGCCATCAAGGGCAATATGGATGGAGCCAAATACAGGCAAATCCTTGAGGGGAACCTGTTTCAGTCAGCCAGAGATCTGCGTTTAGGGGGAAGATTCATTTTCCAGCAGGACAATGACCCAAAGCTCATAGCAAAAACGATCAGGGAATGGCTTGAAAAAAAGAAGGTTAGTATTCTGGAATGGTCCAGCCAGAGCCCAGACTAGAATCCAATTGAAAATCTGTGGTATGACCTGAACATTGCTGTCTATCTATGCTCTATATCTAATTTAGCAAAGTTGGAGCAAATTTGCATTGAAGAATGGGTAAAAATCCCACAATCTAAACTGCAAAGCTTATACAGACGGACCCAAAAAGACTCACGGCTGTAATTTGCTACTAAAGGAGTATGTACAAAGTATTGACTCGGGGGGGTGAATACTTTTGTAATTGAGAAATGGAAGTCTTTCATTCTGGAGAAATGAATGTTCTTGAATAAAAAATATTTTTGAGTCATAAATGCGTTGAATTTATTGTGTTATTGGAGGGAGAAAAAAAATTGTTTTAAAATGTGGAGGTGTAACAGGAACAAACTGTGAAAAAATTCAAGGGGGTGAATACTTGCTGAAGGCAGTGTGTGTGTCTGTGCCCTGTGATGGGAGGTGTGTCATCCAAAGTGTTTTCTCACAACATGCCCTTGTTTTGGACTAAGCTTATCACTGAAAAGAAAAAAAGACAAACATTTGTCCTGCCACGTTCAAGGATGCAACTCTCCCGTACCCAGGCCAAACAGCTGCTCTTAACATACAAGCTTTCAATCTCACCACATCACTAGTTTTTGGGCACCTTTCCAGATTAAACACCCGTTTTATAACTGCAAAAATTTGGAAATGCTGAAATTTACATTTCGGTTTAGTTTTTAGGTGCTGGCAACATTTCAGATTTGGGGCAACAGTGTGCACCTTAATAGAGCATACCAAGTTATAACTATTAACAACTACAAAAAAATCTATTAACGGCAAGAACATTTTTAATAACACTTTTATATACCAGAACAATCTGAGTAACCATGAGTTTTAACAGCTCATTTCATATGCTGTATTGATCTTCTGAATGTTATAAGGAGTGAATACGTTGAACTCGGTCTCAAAACCAGTGTTACCTGGTTGCATTACACGCTCCTCAGAAACGCTACAAATGATGTGAATGAAGAATTCACTCCAATCCGATCATTTCATGATTTCCTGTACGTGCTAGCTCGGAGTTTATCGAATGTGAGATTGCTCCATTGGCTCGGAGGCAAGTGCTCTTTCCGATTTCCTCACTCTCGGCTTGGTCACAGACCTGCAGATCTGGCGGCTCTCATTTCCTTTCCAGTCGTACTGGCATCCGAACTGGCTTTCCTCCCCCAGGCCTCACTCGGGGAGATTCCTACTCGCCTCTGAAGCAGGAGGTTCCGCAAAGCAGCGAAGCCACTGTTGTCCTGCTCACGGGCACTGGAGCGCCGAGGAGCAGGCTAGCAGGACCGTGGCGGCCGGCCACACCCCTTCCCACCCGTCAGTCAGCCTCGGCTGCCATGGGTACATAACCAGGACAGAAGTCTGCTCCATCTCTTCACAATTTACTACCATTGTAAATTGGTACACTCCAATTCACAGGAGCACCAGGCTGCTTCATGTCTGCCGTGGGACTGCTCTGGGTTGGGTTGTGGAAAGAGGTACCCGGGTTCCCTCTACCTCTTTCTATGGGTTCCCTGCCTTTTGCTTTGGATCCTTACTTTCTGGATGATCCCCTTGGTGGTTTACACTGCAGTTCCCTGGCTTTGGATCTTGCTGTGTTCTTGGATTCTTTTACAGGACTGCATATCGGCGCTTTTGCGAAGTCTTTCTGCTACCTGGCCGTGTTCTCGGACCACAGTTCTGAAATGGGTTTCGCCCGTTTCCCACTGCCGGCTCAGCTGCTCATTCTGCCCTGCACCTGTGCATCCCTCCAGCCTCAGACCACTGCTTACTTCCACAAACAGTGGCCCTTACAGGCACAGCGCGGTGGAAGCGGAATAGTCAATCTGTCCAGCCTTATAATGCATCATAACAGATGAAAGGTTACAAATGATGGGGGGCCATTTGTCCTTCCAGCCTGCTTGGGAGTAAGTAGTTAATTGATCCCGGGATCTCATCCAGCCATTTCTTGAAAGACGCCAGGGTATCGGCTTCAACAACAGGGGTGGACAGTTTGGAGTGTACCCCACTCTTCATGTAAAGTAGTGCTTTGTGTCCTAATTGGAGGATTTTCTTCAACCAGGGTCTCTGCTTCAACAACATAGCTTGGCAGCACGTTACACACTCCCATCCTAGGAGTCCCAGGGCATCCTGTTCTCTGTTTTAAACGCCCACCCCTGTAGTCTCCACCTCTGACCTCTGGTCTGCGTGTCTATATTTATTCTGAAGAGATCTTCTGAGCTTTAAAGTACAGTCTCTCTTAATATGAGGTACTTGCAAAACGGGGCACAAATGTTATTCCCATCAGGACAACGGAAGCTTGCAGTTCGTAAAGCGTGAAGAGAATCAGTCCGCTCTGCAATGGGAGTCTGACCGACTTGACAACCTGGAATGTATCAGACCTCAACACAAGGCTACGGTTACCTTCACTTCTTCTCACAGCCTCTTTTACTTTTACTGAAACTAAGCCTACAAGAATTGTCATTGTGGGGACAGGTCAGCACAGGAGTGTAAGGAGTCCGTCAGTGGGACAGACTGCTCACTCTGGACAAGAGGGGAGCCGCTCCGGTCCTGGTGTCTGCACCACCAACAGAACTGGAGACGGGACCTACGCTGCTACAGTGGACACTCCGCTCCGATGAATTAGGCCAACAGGACCTCGAGCGTTTAGACAGGTTAACTGATCCTGTCAAACTGACAGGACTATAGCCCTTCACGTATGGGGCTCCAGCTACACTTCCACTCTGGACCGATTCAATTGCCATTATCATCCCCAGAGCACCCAGGTTCGCGCAGACGCATGCAGCCTTGAGTCAAGGATCGTTCGAAACAATCTGGGTCAGAAGTACCAACCACGATGTGACATACACAGCGCCCACAGAAGGTCTACACACCCTTTCTCCAGAAACTCATGTTTTTAAGTATTCAGCTGTAATGATTTTAGAACGTATCTTTTTCACTTGGAGCTGGTGCTTACAGGCCAGCACGGTGAGGCAGTGTTTAGCTTTGCTGCCTCGCAGCGCTCGGGCCCTGGGTTCAATTCCTGGGGTGCTGTCTGTGTGAAGTTCATATGTTCTCCCTGTGTTCACATGGGCTTCCTCTGGGTGCCTCCAGTTTTCTCCCACAGGCCAGAGACAAACTGGTAGGGAAAACTGGAGTGTGTGTGTCTGCCCTGTGATGGACTGGAGTATACGCTTATGTATTAATAAAGATAAAATACATTCTGATTTAAAGCATTTTGATTTCAAGCCACAGAATGTGTTATGTGGGAAAAGAGTTGGTCACCTTTCTCCAGACACTGCGGACGATTTCGGCACAAGCCATAATCCAGCTCCTGTTCCGAATACGAATCCTTCCGGAAAATTGGCACCGCTCATTGCCCAGCAACTCACATCAGTAGCACATCGCAGGGCGTTCTCAAACAGCCCATCATTAAAAGACAGAGACCTGTGGCCATACATCAGCTATGACGTCTGATGGTAAGTGACTCCTCTCTGTGTAGGTCTGCCCTGCCCAAGACTCAGTTCTCACTCTTGGATCTGGGCAAACCTGGCTCAAACACAGAAGCTCACATCTGCAAAGGAACAGGCTGCATTGCTCTGCATTTTACAGCTCAATATGGAAAATCCTTTATCTACATCCAACAGGAGGGCACAGGGAAAAACGCAGGCGTGTCCAACTGTACAGTGTCGGGTTCTGGTTGCGATGCAGCAGCGCAGACAGCTCCCCGTCTGCACACTCCTCTTCTTCCGGAGTCGCCCCATTCCAGTTCAGGGAGGTGGGAGGACCTCTGCTCAGAGGTAAAGGCTCTTCTCAAATCCGCAGTCCTGCGCCATCCCGATCCGTCACTGCTCCGGGAGCTGGATTCCCAGCCTGCGCAGCGAGCCGAGGAAGAACCGGGGCAGGGGGCAGGAGAGGCTGACCCCCGGGGCGCCGGGCAGGACGAGCCCGCGGGCGTGCAGGTGGATTGGGAGGTGTCGGGCCTTGCTCTGCTCCAGGCCCAGCCGCTGCAGGACCTTCTCCGGCAGCTTCTGAGGGAGAGAA